CGCGCGAGGAGGCCGGGCAGGCGCAGGCTCGATGCGGAGCTCTCCTCGACCCAAGCGGCATCACTGACCTGAAGGAGGAGGAGGACAGATCTTACACACAAGGACAGATTTTACCCCCGGCGCGGCGAGGAGGAGGAGCGACACTCTCGCCGATATCAGCCCCGCGTCGATTGCTGCCGCGCCCCCCGCTCATCGATTGTGCTCCTCGAACTACCGGTGAGTTGCCCGCACCCCCGCCCCGAGTAGTGGCAGCCGCAGCATCGAGTCGAAGACCCCGGACCAGTCCAGCGACCTTCACAACAGATCAGCGACCCTCGCAGGCAATATGGTCAAGCAGAAGAATCACACGGCGCGCAACAAGACCGTCAAGGAGCACGCGCGAGGCATCAAGAAGGCGCGGCGCCCGCGCCACGAACTGTATCTGCACGTGGCAAGACTCGCCCTCGCAGGTGCCGAACTTCCGCTACAGATCGCTCAAGGGCATTGACCCCAAGGCGCTGCGCAACAGGAAGTTTTCCTTGCGCTGGAACAAGGGAGGTCGCCCGAGCGTTGACTCGGAGTCCGACGACGACGACGACGAGGAGGAGGAGGAGGCGTGAATGACGCCGGAGGACGCGTGTGGCTACGCCGAGCGACGAAGCGCGCCCCCCTAGATTTTAAGGGTCTGGGAAACGGTAGAAAGATGAGACCAAGAAGAGGATTCCCTCGCACGAGCGGCCGAGCAGGGCCTGGATCGTCGATGTGCGGGCGCTGCGATCTAGCCAAGTCCGCCGCGGCCGGCGTTAGAGTAACGACGAACTTCATGCGCTCCCGGGAGTCGTTCCCCTCGTAAGTGGCGATGCACGGGGCACCGGCGCTCGCTCCGGCGCCCGTGACGACCACGACGGCCCAGGTGAGGCACAGGCGCGCCATCCTCGCGGATGTACTTGGCGAACTCGCCGTCGCGGGGCGCGTCGCGTACCAGCCTCGAGACATCGAGTCGCCGGGATGGAAGGACGCAAAACAAAACGGGCGTTCCAATTCAAATCCGCACCCGTGCGACTCGTACTGAGTTGCCATCCTCGTGTCAGGATCTACTTGCAGAGATCAGGGTCCAATTTCCGCAACCACTATTAAATACGAGCTCCTATGACACCGAAATATTGATAACCCCATCGCTCCCGACTCGGAGGCTGCCGCTCCGGCGCCTCGACTCTGTGCTACGCAGTGTGCTAGCACAGTGGGCCCATAACCCAGTGAACCGCCTCCTAGGTGGTTGGGAAATGTTACCATCTCCTATGCGCTAAACGCTCTCTGTAGCGCGAAAATGCCTGACTGCAAGTCAGGTGAAACTCCCCGGCTGGGGGAACGTTGGGGGAACCTCTCTGGTGATGGTGATCATGGCTAGTACTCTATTCAGATATATCCCTTTTTCAAGTCCACTATATACTCTGAAATTGGTTTAGAAACTCCGATACATGAGTGAGCTCTTTGAACATACATAACTGCCAGTGTGGAGAAATTAAGTACAAGGGGAGAGAGGAGGGG